ATTTGGTGGTGTTGTCAGTCTTTTTAACTTTAGACATTCTAATATGTGTACTTTGTTGTGAGTTTAATTTGCATTTTCTTGATGTCTAAAAAGTTTAACCATTTTGAAAATGAGCTTACTGGTTATTTTTATACTTTTTTGTGAAGTGTCCAAGTATTTGGCCCATTTTTATATTGGGTTGTTTGTCATTTTGTTATAGAATTTAGGCGCTCTTTATATAGTCTGCATATACTGAATAGTTTGTATATTCTTAGGTAACTCTTATCAATGTCAATATTTCTTTCCAGTCTGTGGCTTGCCTATCCATATTTTTTTAAAAAGATTTATTTATTCATACAAGAACTGGGGTTTAGGTTAGACGTGCGGGAGGGTAAGAGAATTCACCAGAGTGGGGAGCAGAACAGGCAGACAGACCAAAGACACTGCTGAGGGGAGCAGTGGGCGAGGTAGGGGAGGTCTGCTGCACCATTTGGGGTTCTCCCTGGCCAGTGGGGAATCGAACTGGCGCTGAACAGGCTGCAGACAGCTTTGCAGTGCAGCACTCAACCGCTGTGCCAAAAGGGAGGCCCGCCTATCCATATTTTTAAATAGAGTTTTTTGAATTTTTAATTTATCTTTTTTATCGTTAGTGCTTTTTGCATCATATTTAGGAAGTCTTGGAAAACATTTTAGCTTATATTTTCTTCTAGAAGCTTCACAGTTTTAGCTTGTGCATCCAGGTCTGTGATCCATATAAATTAATTTTTGTTTCTGGTGTGAGGTAGAGGCTGAGATTTCCCCCCACCAAATTATTTTCTGGTTGTTTCAGTGATATTTATTGAAAATATTTTCTTTTCTTAATTGAATGGCTCTGGCACCTTTTTGTTGAAAATTGATTGTATAAGTGAAGGTCAAATGTTGGACCATGTATTCTGTTCCATTGGTAAACTGTCTTATACAAGTACTATATGTCTGGATTAGTGAGTTTGATCATTTGAGACCTCCAACTTTGTGGTATTTTTGTTTTTGCAAGATTGTTTTGACTATTCTAGATCCTTTGTATTTCCATAGAATTTTTAGAATCAGTTTGTTAACTTCTACAACAAAGCCCACCAGGATTTTGATTGTTATTGTATTGAAGCGGTAACTAAGTTGCTAATTACCACAACCTCATAATAGAGATTAGCAATTAAAACTCAGAGTGTCATGGAACTTAGAATACTACAGCTGGAAAAGATGTTGGACAAACCCTACTGTCTGCAAGTGGTCCCTAACCTTGATGCACACGGGTATCACCTGGGCATATTTAAATAACACATGTGTGGCTCCCACTCTGAGATACTGTGATTTAATTGGGTTGGCTTACAATCTGGGCATCAGGATTTTTTTTTAAAAGCTCCCCTGGTGATTCTAATGGCAGCAAACTTTGGGAACCAATGGTTTAGTGCTCAAATTTATAGGTGTGGAAATTGAGGCCCAGACAGAATGTGAGTTACCTCGTTCTACAAAACCTACAGATTGACTTACTTTAAACCCACAGTTAATCATCACACATTGTCATATGAATGTTCATAAAAATTTACGTAAACCTTACAAAACTACCACCACTGCAGTCTCAACCAAATGAAATACCGCTTTCTTGCCAGCAGAGAATGTTATCTAGCTCTTTGTGTTGTACTGAGCAAAGTTCTAAATCTGAATTTCCTCAGGGAAGTAACAAAGAGAAGGAATAGAGAGAGGGGGAAGATTGAAAGAAAAAATACAGGCACTGGAACTAGGTGTTGTTCTACCCTTAGATGCCAAGTCAATGATTGTCTTTATGTTGTCAATTTTCAAACTATAAAAACAAACGACTATTTGGAGAAACACCATGACGCCTGAAGGCTTATGCTTCTTGGGTAAAAGCAGAGACTATGTGACAATATTCTAATTTCAATATTAGCAGCTTCTTTTTAAAGTTTATTTAAAGAAAATTGCTTTTAAAAATCACGGGAAAAAGAACATTGCTCAGCAGGCACATTTATTTTTTCTCTCTATGGGATTCAACATCCTTCTGTTTGGAAAGTAGAAATTACAGGACAATAGATAGAAAAACTGATGTTATACAATTTTTAGTTCTTTAACTTGAGTATATTTTAACTTGTAGTGCCCCTTTTTTCCCAGAATAAGATTTTCAAATCTCCTTGAGGGCAGAAAGTATACTTTCCTTCATTTACACAGTGCAGGGCACAACCAGGGCTGTCAGTGAGCATTAAATCAAACCTACTGAAGAAGGAAAACTAGGGCCTCATTAAAATGTCTCTAACAAAGTCCCATAGCTTCTACTTTAACAATCAGTGTTCTTTCTAAACTTTTCTAAAAAAATCCTGCTAAGTGGATCTTCTACCTTGGGTATCTCTCAAAATAAATGTCATAGCTTCACAATTATTCTCACTTCAGGTTAGTCTAAGATATAAGAAGACTGTTCCAATGTATCTATACAGTTGGGAGATTTCAGGATTTTATAAGTTGGTTGTGATTATTTGTGTTTTTTTCAAAAGACATCTTCCAAGCTGTCCATTAGTAATCAACTGTCAATTACTGTGACCAATAAACAACCCATTCTCTAGGTTTGGAAATAAAGCCAGCTTTAAAAAATTACCAGTGATATGCTGGAAGCATAGTCAGAGTCCATCTGCATTTTCCTAGAGTAACAGTGATTTTTCTGAACTGGCGCTGTATGTGGGGTCCACTCTCAAAGCTGTCCTGTTTGGACTTGGCCAAATGAAGAAAGAGGAGGCATGAGATCAGCGGCATTCTTAAGTTTACTTTGGGGATGGTAGAGGATAAAATGAGACTACAAACAGACATTTCTTTCTGTTATTTTTATCTCCCAGATTAGAGGAGAAAATCGTGATGAAATAAACATGTACTTAATACCTAATTTGGGGATTTTTTGAAAACATAGATCCAAGGGGGTGACTGAGAGAGAGGGTGACTGATGGGTGGGGGATGAAAAAGCAGGGAAGGAAAGGGTCCTTGGGGGCCATTTTGCCAGAACCTGAATTGTGTCTCTCTGCTGTTGTCTGCAAGACTGCTAGAAAGCCTGGGCGATAAATGTTCAACATGAGCTAATAAGCTATTTTGATCACTTTGATGTTGCTATGAATGAGTAATTCTAAGTGACTTATTGGGAATTGCCTTAAAAAAATTGATTGATAATAATAATAAAGAGCCAGTTTATCTCTTGATATTTCCTTGATAGATGATTAGTCATCTAAGGAAGCAAGGGGTTTTTTAAACCACCCTCATCAGGCGCACTGACACACAGAATGGTTATCATCCCTTGCTCTGGCTGGTAGAGTCATGTCTTGAAAAGTGTGAGGTGACCACTGGGAGTGTCACCATATCTCTTATCAGAGACACTGCAGACCATATGACTCAATATGCTCATCCGTAAAAATTTACCTACACCGCTAGCTTTCAGGCTTTGATCAATTCACTCAGTCACTTCTTCAGAGATACCATTTGGGCTAAAAATATGATTCCATGGCAGTGAGCCAGTTTCCTTAAACTCTGAAGGACTGCAAACTCAGTTCTAAAGCAGTACACACTGCATTTGGCCATATTTGGGTTTAACTGGTCCTGTTATTCATTATCATGAAACTTTGTACACAATTCTTTGAACTTTAATGTTATCCTGTGTAAAATAGAGATATGTATTCAGATTTCTCGTGGTTACTGTGAGGATTACATAACAAAATGTACATATAGCACCCAGGGCAGTGCCTGTTGCATTGGAAACACTCAATACTTGAGAACCACAACTATTATTATTGTCACTATATTGTAATTATTATTTTTAATTATTCTATACTGGATAACTCTGTAGATCAATATATGAATAAGAAATGGCCTTAAATAAAAGAAACAAGACTGACTTGCAAGTCAGATAAGTATCTTGCAAGTCAAATAAGTATTTTGTTATTGAATATTATTGGCAACATTCAATTGCATATTGTGTGACAATAAGGGCTAAGTAAAAAATGACATTTTAGTTGTAGGGGTGAAAAATATTCTAAAATTCATTCTATTTAGATTTGTTCCTGGAGAATTTCAAAAATTGAACCAACAATTGTTTATAAATAAATCTTTACACAAAAACTGGATTGACCAAAATGTCAACTGGTGATCATTTTTTTTTTTAATGTGTCTATGGAGACTGACTTGAATGGCTCCTATAATCTATATGATTTCTATAACTGGGGTTTTAGAAGTTTAAGTGAGATGGTTAATTTTATGTCAACTTGATTTGGCTAAGAGATGCCCAAAAAACTAGTAAAACATTATTTCTGAATGTATGAAGAGATTAGCATTGGGATTAGTCGACTGCATAATGAAGATTGCCCTCATGAATGCAAGTAGACATCATTCAATCTGTTGAATAGAACAAGCAGGTGGAGGAAGGACAAATTTGCTCTCTGAGCTGAGACCTATATATTCTGCCCTAGGACCTTTGGAACCTGAACTAGAACGTACACCAGTGACTGTCCTGGCTCTCAGAACTTCATCTTTCCCAGCCTCCAGTCAGCAGATCCAGGGGACTTGACAGCTTCCAAGATCATGTGAGTAATTATTTAAGTCTATTTATATTTATATATGTATATATATGTATGCATGTACACCCACGTACACATGTAATATCTCTGTATATAATATACCTATATCTATATCTGGATATATCCTGTTGGTTTCTCTGGAGAACTCCAGACAAGGGATAACTCACAAACATTATTACTCTGGAGCACACAGCATACTTTTTTTTTTTTTTTTTGAGAAGCCTCCTTTCTCTTTCACAAAACAAAACAAAACACACAAAACAACAACCTCAACAAGCATATAAGCTTAGCCTGTAAGTCAAAATATATAATGAATAAAAAAGAATTCAGGCAAGAGATGAGCTTTTAAGAGGAAAGGGAATCAAATGTTTGTGAGTGAAGAATAGAAGAAACTTTTTGTGAAAAATAATATTAACCACCTTGATAACTGCACAAACTCCAACATGAAGTAAGGCTTAAGTCCTCTGTTATGAAACTCTACCTTAGTTGTCTCATGCATGTTACACACAACCTGAGCTATTAGATTTGAAATTTTAAGTGGCAATTCCTAAGGACTCGTAGGAAGGATGGTTTTATCCCATGAGAATTTGGTGACAATACCCTTCAATACTCCAAAATGGCCAATCACCACTGGTTACCAATAAGGCATAGACCTGACCCACAACAGGCTTCATGCATCAGCTCATCGATTCCCTTATTTACTCCAGCCAAGAAAGCAGGAGTTTAGTTATTCTTCAGAGATGAGATTTCAGCCAAGCCTGCCTGCCCTCCAAATCCTGTGTTCTTAACTGTGAGTCCATTAGACCAGAAGCCAGAATGAGTGGGAGCCTCCTCCTTGGGCTGAATGAGTGAATGCATTCATCCTGAGTCAGTACAATTGCGTGGATATTCAGAGCTGAGGGCAAAGTCCAGGTAAACTTGCAAGCTTCAAAGAGACTAGAGTGAGGTTATCTTTGGGTTAGAGAGTAGAGAGCTTCATCATGCTCCTCAGTGCATTTGCTAGCATTAGATAGATATCTGGGAGACTGACTTTGGATCATTCTGGCCTGTACCAGCTCTGTGATATTGGAGCAGTGAAATTAGCTCTCTGAGTCTTGGTTTCTTATGGGTAAAATGTGGTTTGTAAGAGCCCCTAATTATAACTGTTACTTGTGCTATTCAGAATCCAGAGTCAAAGGTCCCCCAATTTTCACTAGGTTTCTGTCTTCTATCTTCTATCTTGTCATGTGCCTTGGGTGCCATTGTGTAAGACTAGGTGTCTAGCCAGAGTGTTGTATTGCCCTGGCTATAGAAATGCAATGAGACTGGCCCAGGCTCTTGGAAAGCCATTCCTTGTTGAAGAGGAACAAACAGAAAGGAAATCGTTATCAAGAAATAGAAAACATGTGCAAAAATGAAAAATGATGTAAAAAATGTATAAAATAAAAATAAAGACATTGAAGAAATAGAAAACATGTCATTTGGGATTCTAAATCAAGCTGTATCTGAAGCCAAACTTATTCTGAGCTTTTTCAGTTAAATGAATCAGTTGCTTAGCATATTAGAGTTGAAAATGTCCTAACCATTACTTATATACTTATTATGAGGATAAAACATGGTTTTACATAATGAAATTTCTAACACATTAAGTAAATACACATTAATATTAGCTATTGTAATTTTTTTCAGAGTTGGAACCTACATGTTGGGAACTTAATTACTTTTGTGCTTTCAGGTTTTCCCTTTAAATTTTTTTGATTTTCTTTAGGTTTTTGTGATATTACTTAACAATCGGGTGTTGTAGCTAGCAAATATGAAACCAGTCAGCCTAACTAGTAATCACATATGTAAACGAAAGTGAAAATAACCATCTATTTAGAGTTAATAATTGTATTGTATTCTTGAAATTAATTTGATTGTACTATCAGCATTCTTAAAATGCCCATCGTTTTTGATCTAGAAATTCACTTCTGGCACTCTGTCTTATGAAAACTATATATAAGAAGGAAAATAGACATTTATAAGATTAAATGAAAAAGGAAAAAGGAAATGTACATATATTAAGAATTTAGTCATACAAAACAGTTTATGCATAATGTATCATATACACAGGAAAATGAGGGAACACATCAAAGTATTTGTCAGAGAGATTCAGGGTATAAGTAAAAAATGTCTTACAGAGTTAGAATTTGCTGACTTTAGGGTCAAAGTGATGACTCAGGCTGGTGAGATGCATTAACAGCTATATCTAGAAAAAATGTTTGGGCTGTTGAGCTAGGCATCATCTATCAGTTTTCTCTGGCAGGGATTTAAAGCAAAGAAATTAAAGAACATTATCCCAGACAGTTGGGGTTAAGTGGAATTAGGATCCTTCCTACATGGAATCCACTTACCCCTTGTCCTTCCCTCTTTCAGCCTCCAGTCAAACTTGTAACTCTTGAATTGGTGGGTGGAGAAATTCCCAGGTCACTCCAGTTGGGGGAAGTACCTGTTGTCATTTTATTACAAAACCACGTTTCTCTTATTCAGTTTTGGAATTTCTGCTCTTTTACTTTTCCCAGTACTGCTTATGGAATGTCCTTTTTATATTATAGCCAGTGTTTGGCACCTTGTACATTTTATGTAATTCACCAGCCTGTGAGTTGAGATATAATTATTTCTCTTTACAAAAGAGGAAGCAGACTCTGGGAGGGTCCATGACTTGCCCAAAGGCATAGGCTAGTGAATGTAAGAGGTGGGATGCGGGTTTTGGTTGAGCTGGTTATGACGCTACCTCCATAAGTCACTCTGGTCTTTTGTGGGTACCGGGTCCCAACTCACCTTCACAGCCTCAAGTCTTTCAACACACCAGAGATTCGGGCCAGAAGTTGGTCCTCTAGTCATCTTTTTTAGGTTCTCCTGCCTTTATTGGTCACTTTTACAGCATTGGCCCCAAGAGCAAGATGCTTGAGAGTGATGGGTGGATGCCACCTTATCCAAGACAGAGGAGCACTCTTCTAGGTCTGCTCATTGCTGCTGTGTGACTCTGAGCTGTCTAGAGCATGCATTCATTCAGTCAAAAAATATTTGTTGAGATATTCCCCTGTGTCAGGTACTAAATAAGGGGGATTCAGAGCTAAATAAGGAAGAATGGACCCTGATCTCCCGGAATTTATACTCTGGTGGGTTCAACAGAAATCATCATCTAAACAAGGATGTACAGTTAAGACAGTTTCAGGTGGTGGGAAGGGAAAAATAAACTTTAAAGGACAAGTTAAGGTGGAAATGCTCATGTGGCTGGCATGGTAAGGAAACAGATGTGTGAAAAAAGAAATGAATAATAAGATAGACCCAGCCATGTGATTATCCGAACGAAGAACATTCAGGCTGAGAGAAGAGCAAATGCAAAGATGCTGAGGTTGAAATGAGCTTGACATGTCCAAACCAGAGGGCAGCAGCTGCCCTGCTAGAATTGAGTAAGTCAGGATGAGCTGAGGGAGCTATGGTTGATGTGCGGAGGAGGGCAGTGTGTGGGGGAGACAAGCTCTGATGGGTATTTTGGCCATTGCAAGAAACCTGGATTGTATTCACAGTGTTCTGGGAAGCCCTTGGGAATTTCTAAACTGAAGAAGACAAGCTTGGATTTTTGTTCTAAATGGTTACTCCTGGTTTCTGTCTGGAATCTAGGCTGTAAGGGGATATAAGTGGAGACAGAATCAAGGCTAGGAAGCTGTTCTAGGGGTTCAGGGAAGTGGCTGGGACTGCTTGCCTTGTGAGGAGGCTTTTCTCTCCCTGGGGTGGCCATTTCTTTTTGAGTTAACAACTCTGCCGTTTTTTCTCCTCTTCTACTGTCTCTAAAGGCTGGTTAGGACAGGAAAAACCTGTAGCTCAAATCTGTGGCACCGTCTGTCTCTTGCTGGTCCTCATGGCAATGACATGGGCCTGGCTCTGGACAAACTGCCCCTCATCAACTCTTTCAGGCTCCCCCGTGAAGCCCCACTGCCGTAGGCCCAGGAGAGCCTGCTAACCAGAGCTGTTGCTCCTGGTCTCTGAGCAGACTGGGCCTGTTCACTGGCCCTTTGGGTGCTCTACTTTGTTTACATGTGCTCAACTCAAGCATGGACAGGCTGGTAAAAAGGGAAAAAAAGCTTTCAGTGGCTTATTAAGGGCAGTGGGGGTGGGGGAGAAGACTCCAAAAGATCTTTGGACACCAGATAGCTCTTCCTAAACAGAGCTTAATGAGTTAAGCGTAAATGAATCAGAAACATGTGCACTGGATTTCTCTTTTGCAGGCACTTTGGTTTAAAAATGAAAGGCAGGGTTGGGGGAATGAGGGGAGAGCATGGCTGGGTTTTGCAAGGACCTGAAGGAGAACTTCACAGGATGAAGGGCCCCAAACATGGTGAGCTTTTCTTCTGTTATAATTTCTTTCATCCCCAGACTGTGAGAGTTGCTTGATCTATGTGGCGTTCGGCTGCATTTCCCTTGCAGATGCGATGTTCCTGGTATTCCTTGTTTCCTTGCCAAAGGTCATCTTATGCTGTGGGTTCAAACTATGCTTCACCAAAGCCCTTTTGACTTAAGTGTCCTAAGTAGCTCACAGACTTTGTTCTGATGGGATCCTGGCTTTTGATGGCAAGAATTGCTATCTTTTCAGCTGTGCTGCAGCCTTATGTAGTTGAGAGTGAGCACTGTCTTAGCATCATTCAGTTATTCATACCAGCTCTGTGACCTTGAACACCTCAGTAGTTCTTCTATCGCAACCTCAGCCTCTGCAGCGCCGGTTCGTTCCCTGGCTGCCGGCGAGGGTCCCCCCCCCCACACACACAAAAAGCCTTTTATAATGAGTGTGCCAGAAGATTGTGAAGCAATAGGTGGTAGAAGGGGTGTGAAATGAATCTGTGGTCACCTCGAATCTCTTATGCTGAGAGAGACGGGGGTGTAATCTAAGTTAGAATGAGATAATAAGGGGTGAGTTCAAAAAAGAGCATCTCTTCCTTTCCATATTATATGGTCATCCCTGTCTTAGAACCCTAGAATTTTAGAGC